AAATTTCTGAGGTCATGCTGACCACGAGAGCATATCTGCAGTATCCTTTGGGGGGAATAGAACTATGGCTCCTGGTTTTCCTGAAGCACCAGTTTATCATCATATGTCATGTCAATTCAAGTAGTATGGGATTCCTTATGATAGAGCCTTCATGCTGTCACACATGTTCCCTGCTCCAAAATGTTCACAATTCAGAGTCTGTCCCCTCTTGCTTTGTAGAGGTCACCACTCACAGGGCCTGCCTCACAGACCACTTTAAAAGACAAGTTGCTCCTGAAGTAGTCTTTTCATGGCACAAACGTATGCCACCAGCCAAGCGGTTACAAGGCATCCCTGCTATAAGTCGCCCAGGTATACATTTGTTCGTTGATGCTTGTAGGAATGGATACATTTTAAGTCCTCCCATTCCCCGCTCTTAAGTCGTGCAAATAAACAAATAAACCAAACCCCACGTTTGCGCAAATGGAAGTCAGCCGTGGGAAAAAAATTCTCTGCTTGAAGTTGTTTAGCTGTAAGTCCAAGTTGTTTGGAACGTATTTTGGACTTACAGCAAGGGCAGCCTTACACTAGAGGGAACTTAGATCTCCATAATATTAGCACTGGACCACAAGTACCTACAGCCAAAATTTAATCAAAAGAAATGGTAATTAAGGATTCTCTAGTCTCCTCCAGCATACTCACTTTGATACTATTAAAAGTCACATTTACTTTAAAGTGAGACTTTTCCTTTCCCGAACATGTGCAGAAGAGAGCAGAGTGGGTATTAGGGCAAAATTAAATTAAAATAAAATCAAGAATCGAGGTGAGAGACTAGGGAATGTGTTGAACCCCAAACTATTTTCAAAACTTAAAGGAGCCTTTACTTTTAGCCCAAAACACCAGATGCCATGCATTCACTACTCCCTCTTCAAGTATAGCTAAAAATAGCCCAATAATAGGGTAACTGCTGGAAGTCATAAGTCTAATGGCTTTATGTGTTTTTTGCCCCATTCATATTGTCAAACTTGATCAGAAACTAGTTTAGCCTGAAATGCATTTAAAAAAACCCAACACTTTACACAAGTGAAAAAGAGCCAGCGTAGACAAAACTGTAGGGAGTTTCAATTTTGGAAACTCTGAGCATCCTGGAGGTAGTGATCATGGCATGTCTAATTGGTGACGGTCAGGCTGGCACATTTTTCATGTTCTAGTTTATGTTGCTGATAAACGTTAATGGAAGCCAACTTCCGCAAGGCCTCATGATGCACGGCAGCAACTCCATTCTACTCAGGTGAGTTGAGTTATACATGCATTAGGACATCATTCACTGGCTAAAACTACTATATGGTGGATGCACACCAGTAGAAAAACTGCACTTGGAGTAGCCATGGGCAGCGCATAGTGAAGACAAGGAAAGACAAGGCCTTCCCTAATAGTCAGGGGAGGCCACGGACATCCACTCTCCTCCCAAACCAGGCTGCCTCCTACGTCTGCAGGCTGCTCTCTAGGAAGCCTGCTGGAGCTGCAGCCATCCAGCATTGGGGCCGTGCTGCCACGTTCGGGGTGGTGCGTGTGTGTGGGGGGAGAGTGAGGTAGCTTGGTGGGGTGCTGGCAGCTTGGCCAGGAGGAGCTTTTGAGGGAGGGCTGGCCCGAGGGCAGTCAGGGGTTGAATAGAGCTGGAGTAGAGCCTCTAGCCTTGGGGTAGGGGACAGCAGCCACAATGGGTACAGAATGGGCAGGACTTGAACTAGCCTCTTCAAGCCAGCTATTCACCCACCACTCTTGAGAGTAGCTATCAATGGAATACTGTCAAACTGGGAGGGCAAAGGTTTGCCCTCGGTCCAGTGCTAGTCAATATTTTCATTAATTACTTTAATAATAGAGCGGAGAATACACCTATAACGTTTGCAGATGATACTAAGCTCGGAGGAGTTGCAAGCACTTTGGAGAACATGGTTAGAATTCAGAACAGCCTTGACAAATTAGAGCGTTGGTTTGAAATGAAAGGGATGACATTCAATAAAGACAAGTGTAGTACTCGGCATTTAGAAAGGAAAAAATAAAATGCACAATTACAAAATGGTGTTGCTACAGACTAGGAAGTGGTACAGTTGGAAAGGATTTGAAAGTTATAATGAAACCAACTTTGTCTGACGAAGGTCACCTGAGCAAGTGGGTTTTGCCCATGAAAGCTCATGATCCTATATATTTTTGTAGTCTCTATGGTGCCACAGGACTGCTCGTTTTATAAGTAGCCACTGGACCAATTTACTATGGCTCCTAGTGGAGTCTCCATCACATACAATTTTTAAATCAAGAGGAGATGTTTTTCAGAATAAGAATTATTTTGAGGACATTTTATGGCCTTTGTTATACAAGCTGTCAGACTAGATGGTCATAATGGTCGCTTCTGACTTTGAAACCTGAGAATTATAGTAGAGGCTAATAGCTGGCTATTTGTCAACATAATGAAGGTGGAAAAGAAAAGCAATTTTTGCTTCCTCTTCAGCTTTTTCCAAAAGAAAAATGATCAATGAATAAATTCATAAGATCGTTATAATCAGAGAATCATAGAACAAAGGAACTGGAAGGGACCTCGAGAGGGCATCAAGTCTAGTCCTTTGCTTATTTAAAAGTTTTTACTTAGCCACCCCTCTTCCCATTAAAGGTAGCTTTTAATTTAGACAAAAGTGTTCCACAAAGTGCACTGAAGATTTCCTGACTCTCCCACTTTCCCCAGAACACCCTTACCTGTAAGATATTTGTGAAGAAGTCATGGTAGAACATAGGCCAGTCTTGTCGACCAATGTCCACGATGACTTTGCAGAGCTTGTTCCGGATAAAGTAAGGCAGTGTTTTGTGGTGAGCTAATAAGAGTTTGGGCAGGCAGCTGCGGATCTCCATTTTATCTTGAGATGGGACCCCAAGCCACATCTTATTGATCAGATTCTGAAAGAGAGGCACACCCTGATTTAGTAGATCTTAAAAAGGCACACGGAGAACTGGTTATAGAGCAACATTATACTCAGTGGTTAGACACTAGGTCTGGAGAACCAGATGGAGGAGCAGACATTTATTAGGCAATGCTTAGGGAAAAATTAGTGTTTCAATATATTTCATTTGCAGAGTTTTACAACTATAAGCGTGTCATCCTCACCTAGGGCTCGTCTACATTGGCCCCTTTTCCGGAAGGGGCATGGTAATTTTTGAAATCGCAATAGGGAAATGCGCAGGGGATTTAAATATCCCCCGCGGCATTTAAATAAAAATGTCCCCCGCTTTTTTCCGGCTTTTAGGAAAGCCGGAAAAGAGCGTCTACACTGGCCCCGATCCTCCGGAAAAAGCGCCCTTTTCCGGAGGATCTTATTCCTACTTCGAAGTAGGAAAAAAGGGCGCCGGAAAAAAGCAGTGGACATTTTTATTTAAATGCCGCGGGGGATATTTAAATCCCCTGCGCATTTCCCTATTGCGATTTCAAAAATTACCATGCCCCTTCCGGAAAAGGGGCCAATGTAGACGTACCCCTAGTGTATGGGCCAAAACTACCCTAATCGGTTAAGTCAGCAGTCGCACGTATTGCTACTTCGATAGTTACCTGGCTTTGGCAGTAAATATAGTTATGTGTTGTGACATGTGATACAATGGTAACAGTGATTACAATCTTGAGCACAAGAACTTAATCTGGCCCTTAACAGTGATTGTGTGTGACCCTGGGCACATCTAGAGATGAAGAAACTGATGTAGGAGTTAGTGAGACAGGCCCCTCACAGAACTGGGAGAGGTATTGCTTAATGTTTGTAAAGTGCTTTAAATGTAAGCAGCATTCTATGTTAAATAGGGTACAGAGAACTCACCAAAGAGCAGCTCAAACACCAAATGTCAAATGTATGTCCTGTGCATCAAAACGCATTTACTTATATTTCTCGGGATAGAAAATTGTTAATTTCCACTACTATACTATCTTTTTTTCTACTAGCATGGCCTGAATGACCTAGGGATGTAATAGTGTACTCAATTAACTGATAAGCAAAAGCTTATAGGTTAATGCCATAGACTACACGCATTTCTCTACTTCCTCCCCCCTCCCACCAGAAAATTTTTTAGCAGGCTGGCCAGCAGCCCACTCAGTCCTATCTTGCAATGGATCCAGGACCTCCCCCTGCTGTGGCTGTGCATTTAAAGTGTATTAGGAGCTAAGCAGGCAGGCAGCCTAGCTCAGTCTCAGCTCTTGCTGGGACCAGGAGCTCAGACCTCCCCCTGGACAGGGGCTACTGCCACCACACACTGCTGCCTCTGTATCAGAGGCAGCAGCGCGGAGCGACAGGCAGCCGGTCCATGAGGGGAGCTGGTTTTTAAACTGTCTCCCCTCACAGACCAGCTCCCACCTGGCACCCCACGCTGATAGAGGCAGCAGCGCAGAGTGGCAGGGGGTCCTTTGGAGTCAGGCCAGAGTGTACTGGCTGCTGGCCCCACCCCCTGGGTACTATAGAATAGTCGAGTAACCAAGAAGAATGAATGGAGGTTAACCAACTATTCAATGAACCGATATTTAACTTCCCGAGAATGAACCAGTGGTTTTATGAACCTGTAAAACAGTCACTGGTTGGCGAGTCTCAGAATAAACTATGCAGGCTGGAGCAGGTCTAGTTTTGCAAATAAAGACTCACTGCCCTCTTAACCAGGGACATCTAGGTTCTCTTACACATCCATATCTGTTCAAGAGCTCCTCCTAAATGTTAAGAGCGAGGCCCACCAAATGTGGTATTCACCTTCCTCTCATCAGAGCTTAACAAGGCTAAGGTTTGGTTAGCCTGGAATTCAACTGTTTCTCATAAAAATGGAAAAGGAGGGGTCTGGTAGAGGGCAGAAAGGGGCCAGAGAGGAGACCAGCATAGCTATAACCCCACTGGGCCAGCAGGGGTGGAGAAAGGGACAGCTATTTTAAAGTTTGCCTGTGTGTCTACTGTGGTGAGAAGGGGCTGGGATTGTGCTCTCCCCCTCAGGCAGCCTGATTCTGAACCCCTCATCTCCAGTCGCACCCCAAAGCAACACTATAAATGAAGAAAAAGAAAACTTATTTGAGTTAAGGACCCAGGCAATGCTGGGTCAATCTTCTAGTAGTAAATAAAGAAACATAAGGCAGAATGAGAACCAAGCTCTGCTTTGGATGAAAGTGATGTAATGTGGCATCCTGAAATTTTTAAATGTAGAAAGAGATGTTCTACGTTAATAGGCCTTTAATGGAAGAGTGCTTACTTTAGCAAAGGAGTTCTAACTCCCTTAATGACAAAAATCCGTATGAAGGCAGAGTTGCGAAGCATTTTTCCTGCAATGCTGAAACCCCATTTACAATATTAGTGGCTATTAGTAGCTGAGCCTGTTAAGTAGATGTTTGAGGATAATAGCTTCAGGAAGCCTGCTTCTACCCATTTTCAAGCACATGGCAGGCAGAAATTAAAGAAATAGCTTATCCAGGCAGGAGGAGTATTATAAAAGCTAGGAAGCTTTCCTTATGGCACAACAAGCCAATTCACAGTATTCAGGCTTCAGTGTAATTTAGACTTGAAGCCACCATGAAGTCTCCCCAAAAGGTCAAAATTATATGGAATAGAGCCAGCATCCAGAGCTACAGGTTAACACAGACAAAGAAAGTGCTTATAGGAAGAATACAGGACATTGACAAAACCCACAACCCAGAGGACCCTTACCAAAAGTCTGTATTAGGAGCAATTGCAGCGCTGTACTGTGTATATAGGAGACTTCTCCCATGCATATGAGATTTTAAACTGGTAGCTTTCTTCCCCAGCCCAATATTTTTGGTAACAAACTCCCTTTTCCCCAAAGGTCCACTAGCAGTATTCCTTTGAAAGGAGAGAAGTGTGGGCACTGGCAGGGGACATTGAGGGGAAGGAAGGGGACAATATTTTCATTAAATCTCCGCTGTTATTTTTCCAACTCTTCCAGCAAATATCAAGCCCCCATAAACCTCTTGGAATAAGTTTTGGGTTTACTGTCCTGCTTGTGAAAAAGTCTCTGTTCACATATAAAGCTGATCAAACAGTGCTAATAGCTGGAATTAATTTTCAAAATTTCAGGTTCTAAACAGAGAGATTTAACATTTGAGGTTTCAAACTTTCACCTGGCTCTCTTTAATAGCTAGGTAACAAAGAAGAATGTGGTCTTCCAGAAGATATTACATCTTTGACTAATTCATAGGCAAGGTAGGGTGAGCTGCCACCCAGAACTCTTAGATCCCATAAAATACAAGGAATGTTGTTATACCCTTTATGCTAATTTGTGGTATCTAGCCATACATAACCAAGACACCATTTCTGATCTGTAAAGGATATGAAAGATCTATTCTGAAGGATCCATTCATAGTCTGTGAATTATATCAAAATGTAAGACCATCTCCTAAATTCTAGGCAATTCCTAATCACCTAAAATCAGCAACCTGTATGCAAGGATTAATATTCCATTGTATTCCTTCCCACACTGCATTTTTAAAAATGTCCATTACAAGAGACCTATAACAGCAAGTGATGCCCATGTGCACTTCAGTTGATTTTCACTTTAGTATTAAAAACAATACAGAACTATTCAATTAAAAAAAAAAAAAAAACATTCCCAGAACTATTCCAAACACAAATCACACCAAATGAGAGTTAAAGCTGAAGAATCCACTAATCAAGGCAATTATGGTATTCTGGATACGTTTACCCTTCTGTCTCACCTCAAACACCGTCAAACTGTACATCATTACGTAGTCATTTCTTGTGCTCGACAGGAAATAGAGGCAGAATCTCCAGGCGCCTATCTGCTGGGCAAAGTTATTCAGAAGCTCCTCTGGGAAAATCAAGTATCAACAAAACATGCGCATTAATATTCATAAGTTGTCTTCAAGCCCAAGATAATATCTGTTTCCATAGCACCATAAATCTGAATGGAACTTCAGATATTTTTCAAAACTGATTTGGTATCAGTTTAATAATATTCAGACAACCTGAGCAACTTCAAAAGCCTACCTATAACCTTCAATGCAAGCACAATGACTAAGTGCACAGCATTAGAAGCTGTTGTGTATTATTTTAACATTTCCAAAAGCATAATGTAACAACAGTCTCAGGCTAGATTAACTTGATACTAATGCAACCTTTAGCTCTACAGTGCAGATCTTTCCCAACAAAGATAAGACGCTGGGCAGCAACAGGATAGGGGAGCAGCAGTACGTTACTATCCTCTTGGACCACATACTGTACTAGAGGGAGACTATTTTGCCAGGGGACTTTATGGAGAATTCCTTCGCTGTCAGCAACACTGGCTCAGAACTCTAAGTTTCAGTTGCAGGTTTTATAGAGGCATGAACGGGGTGGGGAGAGAAGGGAGAACAGATTCTTCTGCCAGTGTTCTCCAGCCTGCTCCTATCCGTCACTTCAGGGTACTCATCCCAGTCCTCCTGCTTCCACCACCTTGTCCCAGGCTCCTTTCCTTGCCCAGCCAGTTCCAATATATTCCTAAGCCCTCTTCCTAGTCTTTCCTCCACCTCAGACTTGCGTCTCCACTGCATTATAATCAGACAGCTTCCTCTGTCAATGAGAGTCAGGGGAAAGGGACAGTGAGGAGTGGGGGAGCATTGAGACCACAGAAGAGTCTTCCTGATCTTAATCCCCAGTACCCAGCACCACTGCTGCTCACAGAAATCAGGGGCAGCAACTGCAGTAAAAATCCTTCTCAGCCTCATGGTGGAACAATCAATCAAGAAGGTATTTTTCTGGATTTAGCTGCCAAGCTAAAATCTCTATTGAACTTTTGTAAAAAACCATGCCCAAACCAATATAATGCTGTAATTTTATTTTCAGATATTACTTGGCTGTTTTTTGCTCACATTTTCACAAAGGAAAATAATCTGAGGCAGACACCTGGCCTGCAAGATGTCAATCCTAACCCTAAAGTATGGCGAAGTTCTGACCAACTGAAAACTGCACCTTATAATGGGAACTGTCAGGAAACCTTAACGAGAGCCAATAATGGGAACTGTCAGGAAACCTTAACGAGAGCCAATGCTACCGGCTCTGCCTCTAATAAATAAGAAAAACAAATGGCAAAGATTAGGCTACTGGTCCACGGTGAAAGGCTTGTCTACAGGAACAGTTTGCAGCAAGCTGGAGTGTGAACCTACCTTGCACTAGCTAGACACAGACTGACAGTTCATGTGGACTCTGCTGACAAGCACCAACAGTTTAATGAGCGGTCACTTAGTCCCATTTCAAAAGGACAAGAGAAGTGTTAATGCAGGTCAGTGGGGTCCATATGGACAGTCAGTCTGGGGTAGACTAGCACAGGAGAGATTCACAGCCCAATTTGCCGCAACTAAATGCTCATGTAGACAAGCCCCAATATTGACATTCAGCAGTAAAGTTTTCCTTGTTTTAATGCTAAACATTCTTAGATCTACATATATCTCTGACAGGAAGCATTATAGCCCTCTGGCTTTTACAATGTCTCTCAAATGCTCAGATATACTGTTTCTAGCATAACCACATCTGAGTGACTCTTGGTAAAAGTCTGGCCTGGGGGAAAAGCTGCATGTGTTTGTGTTCTACAAGCTCATCAAACCCAACAGTTGATCAAACCCCAGTCTCCTTTCCTCCATTGACTGCATGTATGCGAAAGAAAAAGTCATCATAACCTTTTTCAGCCAGACGGTAAAATTTTAGGTGAAGACAGCATGCTTACATGCTGAGAATATATGATCAAGTAAAGGTAACCTGGAGAATACAGGCTACATTACTGAAATGTGAGGTTATAAATCCACAGCTTGTCCTTGTAGAAAGGAATCAGAAGACTGTGCAATCACCTCATTTTTTAGTGTGTTGCAGATCTTATCCATCCATCCTACTGATGGTTGCATATCACACATGTTATTTCTCTGGTCTTCACAAACGTGCATCTGCTCAGACCCACTAGTAAGGAACACAAATATAGCTCCACTTGTCATTGTGTATTACCAGGAAGCTACCGCAAACGTGTCAGTGTGGGCAACGTATGCCTTCTCTTTTGGATCTGCTCTCCCACATTTTCCTTATTCCCCTCACAGTGCAGGAAAAGCTTCATGCGTTTGCTTTATCACTTGTCACACAGCTGTCTGTTGCAGAGGCTCTTCATGAAGCACAGCAGTTTACAGGCAGAGAAGCAAATAGCGCTCTTGCCATTTCCACCTACAGCAGACAACCAAACTATGGAGTTTGCTGCTGCTGTTACTTGGAGATCACACCTCTAACCCCCAAAATGCTGAGGGCTGTAGAGAGTGGGGAAGTAAAAGAGGCCGTTCCTTAAGATTGTCTGAACTTACCGATCTCACGTTTCCGTTCATTGGTTGTGCAATTGTGGAAAAACTCTGTCATTAGACTCTCCAAAGCGCGTAGGGAGGCTTCTTCTGATGCCTGACAATGACATTTAAAGGAAAAGTACGTCAGAGTGACCCTGGTTCATATTCAACTGTAAGTAAAGTTTTCCTCCTTCTAAAACAAAGTGTATGGGCCTCTTAGCAATGCATGCTGGATGAGCAGTCTCAGCTACCAAACAAAAGGGCAGCAGTTATAGGATGAAGTTTAATAGGGAGTTTTCTAACTGCAGAAAGAAGTCAACAGATACTGACAGAGTATGCCCAGGATGAATAAAAAGCAAAGGTTATGTAAAATCTCATTTGTCCAATCAATCTCGTTAATGAGAGCAACACTTTATAAAGTAAGCTCCTCTCCCTTCTAATTACAGATATCTGTTCACATTGCCAACGTTAGTTCATCCATTGGATTAATTCTCATATGAGCACCAGGTTCAGAGGAACATATTTCAGAAATTCAGAGGCAGCAAGGCATAGCAAACTGCACGTAAAAGTAGATGCTAGAAGTCCCGAACTTATTCCCATCCCTGGCTCAATAAGTGACCACAATCAATTTGCCATCTCTTTGCTTCAGTCTGCCCATTTGCAGAAAAGGGCCCAGTGACATGTTCCATTTGGTGAAAGAAAGAGGGGTGGGGGTTTTTAAAGAATTAATGTTCATAGAGATGACTAAGTGCTATATAAATGCTCTATTTGATTCTGGGAGAATGAGCTACCTAATTCCTTTTCCTTTTTGCCAGCACGGATCAGTTGCAGGTTAGTTTTTAGAAGACCTCAAAGACCCTACCTCAGTATGGAGCAGTTACAAAGTACCTACAGCTTTATTTCTCCTTTAAGGGCCACCTGCAATAAATGCAACTAATTTCATTGTTTCACAGAGTTAGGATGATACTTGACTCAGCAACTATAGAGGCATGATGCTTGCCTTCTCATCTAGCTTTTACAATGGATATCCCTCTTGTCAGTGCATCACTAATGGTTCTGTTAAGAAATAGTCATGAGACTTGTCATTTTGCCAATATTTTCAAGGAATGCATTGCTTTTTCACCTGTAAGAGCACAGACTTCAGCCCAGACCTTCCTTGGAACTGTACAAAAGGTGCAAGCAAGCATCTACTTTTCAGTCCTATATCTAGTACAAAAAAATTACTCTGCTAAGGCAGAGTAGCACTGTGACAGGTAGTCTTCTTCAGGATGCTTGGTCTGCACCACCTACAGAAGCCATCTGAGTTTCTCTACTGTTAATGTTCAGTTCCACGCAAGGCACCCAGTTTCTCCTAGAGTGCCACTGAAGAAACAAGTTGGGGAAGGAGACGTCTAAGCTTCCCCATTCCCTTATTCAGTTGGATTCAGATTTAACCATGCTACAAGGAACAATCATGTAATAAGACATTAAGATAAATACAACTTCGTCCTTGCAACTGATGATGGATGGTTGGTACGACTTAGCATTCTGCTGCTAAACTGCAGTAAGTACACATTTCCCTGTTGTCTTTCCCCCATGTATATTAAAAATGGGATGCTGCACAGAAAAATCCACTTGAGATCCCTAAAGTAAACTACCGTATATATTCGTTCATAAACCGCCTTTTTTCGGAAAAAATTCCGCAGTGAAGAGTGGAGGTCGGCTTATGAATGGGTTCTTTCCAAGCCGTGGGAAGCAGCGTGGGCTGAAGGACATGCTGGCTGCCGGCACGGAGCCTCTCAGCTCCCAGCGTGCCTGAAGCCACCACTAGGATCGCAGTGGCAGGGCAGACTGTATGGCTGAGCTACAAGCAGCCAAGGTAGAAGACTAAAGTAGGAGCCGGAAGCAGCGCAGGCTGAGGGCTGTGCAGGCTGCAGGCACAGAGCCTCAGCTCCCATTGGCTGGGAACAGTAAACAGCAGCCAATGGGAGCTGAGAGGCTCTGTGCCTGCAGCCCGCACGTCCCTCAGCCAGCGCTGACACTGACGAGCTGGGACTGGAAGTCTGTACTCTGGAGTCGGCTTATAAATGGGTCAGTGACTTTTTACCATTTTTTCCTCTAAGTTTGGGGATCATCTCATAAATGAATGGGCTTATGTTCGAGTACATATGGTTAGGCTGGTTTCAGAGCTTTCATTCTTTCATTGTATTTTAAGGCTTAACAACAATTAACTGGATATCCAACTTCTAGTTATTTCTAGGTCAGAGAATTAAGATTTGCCAAATTGACTCTTTAGATTTTGAATACCCCGAATTATTGTAGCTTATACCAACACTGGCATCTTTGTATCTTTCTAATATTTAAAAGCCACATTCTGTATTTTACTGCAATATATAGTATATTGTTTTAGGCATAAAATGGACTATTAAAGATTAAAATAATGTGGGACTGACAACTAATTCTGATTATGAATCAGTGAATGTTACAGTATTTACATAGAAGTATGCATAGGCCAAGATGCAAATTACAAGTAAATACTTAAGCCTTCATATTTGAATTCAAACATCATCCAGTGAAGCACCAAAAATTGCCTATCAATTAAGATGACAAGGTGGGTGACGTGATAGCTTTCATTGGACCAGTTTCTGTTGGTCAGAGAAGCAAAGTGTGTTTGCCAAGCCCTCAAGCTGTCTCTGTGTAGACTCCAAAGCTTGTATCTCTCACCAACAGAAGTTATTCTAACACAAGATATTACTTCACGCATCCGATCATGGAACCAAACAGCTACAAGAACACTGCATGAGTCCAATCACAGGTAGATCTAAAGCTGTAGGGTTCCAAAGAACCATAGATTTAGCTTAAATATGAATTTGTTTCAGATTCAAACAGGATGGATATTCCCCTTTTATTTTCCCAGGTAAAGAAAAAAACCACCCCACAATCCAGAATACTTATTACTTTAAATACAATTTAAAGTGTTCTCCTGGGAAACTTTTCCATTTAAAAGTTTGGTGTTTTTTTCCTCCCCTCCACCATCAGCTTTTCCCTTCATTTCACATTGTAAAAAGCAGAACTAAATTTTCACAAATATGTAACAAAACCGACATACTGTGAGTCTCCCCACCCCACCAACATTTGTTCCTGTAGAGATGATTGAATTATTCAGGTTTTGCTCTCAAGATTTAATGCTTTTTAAAAGGAAGTGAATATTTTTAAAAGCTTTTCACTAATGATTTTCCATACCAACACAAGCTGTTAACCTTTTAATGTTTGCTATTAACAGCTCAGTAGAGAATATTGATCATAACAAGAACTATGCTCTATATATGGTGCCTACATTCTGATGCCAAATGTTTTTATGAGGAAGCTGGTGTCTTTTGTTGCTTTCATAAGGTATGAATTTGAAGACACGCCTATCCTGTTAAGAAAAATACAGATAAACCTACTAAAATCTAAGTGTTCTTATAAAAATGTTGACTGCACTCACAAATATCACAAACGCAACTTCATTTGTGTCTCAGACAGAGCTAGTGCAGCATCTGCTGACATCTATACCCTGCAAATCACACACCTTGACCATTAGTTCTTCTAGTTTTGTAGCACGGTACTGATGTTATCTTCCCTCTCAAAATGAAGTTAACAAAATCTCTCTCTCTCTCTCTCTCCCCCATTGATTTGTTACATCATGTGCCCCTACCTCTACTCCCTGGTCACACTTTCAATCCAAACACACTTTCCTTTGTGTTGAGTCTTCCATCTCTATTTAATATCTATATGCACCACGAAGTTATGACAGCAGAGATATTTTTCAGAGGCCACTTGGGCTAATGAGTGTTGGGTAAATGGCCTCACTATATGCATAAATTAACAAGGGTTGAGAAATTTTAACTAGGGATATGAAAGGTTAACCCATAACTGGTGGGGGCTGGAGCAGCTCCAGTCCTCGGGGAACCCGCCACAGACATGGACTGCCCTGGTCCGGAAAGCCCCTGTCCACAGCAGACCCAGGTGCCCCACAGGCAGGGCTCCTTCATTTCCAGAGCACCCGCTGTCCCTTGCAAGCCTAGGCATCCCATAGGCAGAGGTTACTCCAATGGGAGCTGGGAGCCAGCCCTAGTTCAGGCTCAGAGCGGGAGCACCATGGCCTGAGGGCTGCTCCAGCCAGGGTGGAGTGGTGCCCCGCCCAGACCCGCTTAATCGGTTAACTGGTTAAACATTAGGTTAGCATAGCATTTAACCGGTTAACTGGGATTTTATGGCCCTAATTTTAACCACCCACTAGTCAGAGAATTAAACCCTCAGTGCATTCAAAATGCAGCAACTAGCATCTTGGACATCAATCTTACATCATCTCCCTGTCCCTGCTCCACCCCAGCCCCACACTGGAATCTCCTGGCTCCCCTTTCCATCACAAATTCAATACATGGAGCCTTAACAACTCAGCCCTTCCATACTTATCTGTGTGAGCACCTTATCAAATTATATACCCCTCCCTCCCAAAGCAACTGTGCCAGCCTCAACCACTGGCTTCTGAATCTCTCTCCTTTGTGCATTCTTCCACACAAAAGAGAGAAATGCAGAGCCCCCTTCTACGTGGAACATGCGAGTAAAATAGCTCAAGAGGCACTACTTTTGCCTCCAGATTCCTCCCCAACATTGATTTCTGAGCTGCCCACAGGAAGTAAATTAACAACAACCACATAGAAAGCCATTGGGCACTGCTAACTTTTTTAAACAGTGATTCAGAATATTCCAAGCTTTTGTAGGTGCAATTTTTTATCATCACCCTTCTCCACCTTCTTTCCATTGTCTTTCCTATGATGACAAACTAAACTGTAAGTTCCCTAATGGGGACGTCTACGGTGTTTGGACAGCACCTGGCACAATGGGTACTACCACAATGCAATGAATGCTATTTAATAAATAAAATGGTACATTTTTAAAGTAGTATTTGTGGTATTTGAAATGTCACGCACTAATAGAGAAACCAGGAAGTGCTACAGCTCTGATTTTTCATCTAATATATATTTTAATGTAGATATTTCTCCTCATGAAATATAACAGCTACTTGGGAAAAAAAACTTTGTAGCTCAGTTTTAAGAATACTCAGTTGGAGGTAAAATCCCAGTGAATCAG